CATTTCGAGTCTCGACTATCCGGCATGCCTTAATTTAAACGGTACACCCCGGTCCCGATTAAACCGGTTAATCGAGATTTTACGAGCCGAGCAGCGATGGAAACCTTGCAACGTTTAAACGTGATTAATAATTGATTTTGGTCGTGCTTAGAAGAACATATGTATTATAAATCAGATATATCCGATTGTATCTCGTTTATTTTTGAGAAGGTTGTATAATACCGTCCAAAGTGGAGTAAAGTGTTAATGTAGCGAAAAGATTTTAAATAGAATCGCGTAATCCTGCATTTACATTACAGATAAACATTCGGTTTCTGATAAAAGGAAATATCGAATATCACGTTTCGCCGTTAGATAACAGATGCTTTAAAAACGATTACACTCATACATACGTACATATATAAGTTGCGAAGAGAGAAAATTGCCAGTTTGCCGCATCTGAATTCGCGATAATTAACTCGATAGACTTTCTTCTTCTTTATATTATACACGTGTGTATATATATGTATATATATATATGTATATATAGAAAGGAACGCAAGCGCGAAAGGTGTAACGCGTCCTAGTTTCTAAAGCAACTTCACCTGGGTTCGCGATCGCGTAGCGCCATTCGTTTTCATTGATCAAGGTCGCGTCGGGTTTCTATTCTTCCTCTTGCCAGGAGTTCAATTCTCTGGTAGAGACGAAGAAATGTGGAGAAAAAATGAAGCGAAACTTTTTCGATCGATTTCCGAGACTACGTATTCGTTTCAGAGAAAATCGTAAACGGTTTAACTTTCAAACGTTTCAACGGGGCTTTCGAGCAGTCACTCTCGTCTCTCCGTGTTCACTTGAGAGTGATACTCTCGAGAGCTAGCTCACGATAGTTTTACTCTCAAATGGACACTCGGGTTTAGAAAAAGTCGAGAGAACTTTTTCCCGCCGTCTTTTTGTATGGAATATAACGGTCGCCTGGATTTTATTCATTTACGGATTTTATTCGTTTAAAAACGAAAATATAATTATCGTGGTACATGTACGTATATTTTGCTACGTATATTATTATTATAATATATTAGAATGAACGAACTCGATAAGGATATAGTCGATCTGTAATGTCTTTTCTTTTAGATACGGAGTCTTCAACGAAGGAGCAATATCAGTATGAAAAGAAAAATTCGGACGCGACGATGCACGTGAACGGGCATACGACACAGGACGCGAAGCAAGAAACGAGTAAGTTTTTTTATTGCATACGTATTCACAAGCAAATACGTTGTACGTTCTTTGGATCGTAAATTACATATTCTAACTATATAAACGCGTTTAAGGGAATTCGATTTTTTTCTTTTAAAAAATCTATTTTACGATAAAATCCATATTGTAAAAATGGGTTTTCTAGTCGATGTCTACGATTCTATTTGTACTTATTTGCGATTAGCAAAACTTGCGTCATCTGCGAAGAAAACGTTGACTTATCGCGTTGACTTACATAGACCATGCGTATATATAACACGAAATCTTTCCATGATAATCGGTAAATTCGAATAAATATGGTTGTAGATTAATAAGCTGTTGAATGATAGAATCGATACTGTGTGAATTTAATTAGAATCGAGGAATCCAGGAGCGGAAACGTTGAAAAATTACCGGAGCTAGGAAAGAGTAATTTTCGTAAGATGATCGAAGAAGAAGATAAAAAGAATTTATTTGAGGATAAGGAAACGAATATCAATATCTGTTAGACATGTACGTAACTATCGGAGGATTGGAAAAGACGATTGGAGCGGCGCGTTGCCGTAGAAATAGCGAGTGAGCCGAACGTGCGTCGTAAATGCGGAAAATAGATATTGTATGGTGACCGGTGTCACTTGTTATATAAGGCATTGAAGGTAGCGCGATGACGTTATGCAAAGGTGCGCCATGCTCATCCTGTTCTTTCGTTAATATCGATCCCACATTTCGCTTCTCTAGTCGACGATGTATCGTAACGTTGTAACGGTCCTTGACTGGAATTTCGCGAAATTTCAACGTTCACCAAGCACCTGAATTCGGTGGAAACGTTCGACGTTTCAATGCTTCGTCGAGTTTGTCGAGCATCGGATCGTGTGGCCGGAACGTTCGGTCTATGAAGCGTCATCGAAGCCCCGTTGTCGTTAACAAGTGCCCCAATCTCGAATTTAAATTCCTTTTGGCGAAGAAATTTTCGATCGTCTAATTAATCTCATCTTCGAATAACGTAGCTGCGTTTTTAACGAAATAACAACGAATATCGTACAACCGGTCGTCTCCGATAATCGTAGTTTCCTATATGTTATTAATTTACGTTTTATATTTTAATCAATTATGTTAGGATACAACACTGTATCGAGATACGTGATAAATAACCAAAGTAATAATAATGCGATGGTATTGTGTTAGTAATAGCGTAAATCGCTAATTGCGTTAGATTAGAACGAAAATTGGTGTAATCTGATAGCGATATAATTAGAAATTGTCGATATCCGGAGACAGTAGACAAGATAAGTAGTATATATATAGCTGTATATTTGCGTAACCTTTTTTTTGGCTATTAATATACATACATACATCGAAATTAGCTAGCATGGCCACTGAATATTCTACACCTACGTAACGAAACGTTTGTCTGAACTAAAAATATCATCGGCAACCAACAACAATTCGCTATTTTGCCGTTCGGTTGCCAACGTAACGACAAAATGTATCGATAAAAACTGAACTTTGTTATATCGTAATCTATATATCATATACTTGTATATATATATTATATTATAATTAGTGTGTCAGTTTAAAAATCAATTTCAACTACGTTACAACAACGTTGTAATAAGCGATAATAGATAACTTGCATAACTAGATGTCTGCGTTAAAAGGGTCGTATTAGTCGTGTTCGATACTCGTGGATCAATAAATGGCGTAATGGAAGCAACGCACATTCTTTAAAAAACGGACAATGCAGTTGTTGCTTTGATTAAATAATTTAAATTCATATTTTGCTATTGGATACATAATTCGTCGATTTCCTATTAAATTAACGGATGAAATTCTTTAATGTCTGGAAAAAGTCGGAAATTCGTACAATTCTTTGCACATTATTCAAGCGGACGTTGGTAAAGAACGTGTAACAAATATCGGCTACCAGATGTTTGCTTTCGGAAAAATTCTCCCTTCTTACAATCAGAAAATTTTCGCCGGTAATCGTTTCCCGTAAATAGTTTATTATACTCTTAGCCGCTTAAAATAAAACTTGCCTGTCGCGTGGAAAGTTTTGGTAATCGGTTTACGATTTCGATAGAGCTTGACTCGTTTTGCAGACTGCGTGATCCGGTGGAATCGTGCCGGAGGATGACATAACCGAAGTAATTTTTAATGGAACGACTCCGTCGATATAGGACAAGATGATTTCGAAGAATAGCTAGGGTGTGTCCGATAACCAGGATGCGATTCGTTCATTAGAGACGACCTCAAATGATAAATCGAACGCGTCTAATCTCATCTCCGGAAATGAGTAGAGTCGTTTGGTTTACGTTTATGGGATAGGTTTCTCGCGATCAAGCGAGCAAACTTCGTAACGAATATTTTTCAAAATGTTTACGGGTAAATAATCGAACGACTGCCTATAAATATCGATATCTATCTATATTAATTGACAAATAAAATATCGAATATCCGTACAAGTTCTCTGCTTGTCCCTGTTCTCAATGCAAAATCTTTTAAAGATATTGTACTTAGAAAAGGGTGTATGATTAAAAGGAAAGCTTGGTTAAGTTAGAATCTTGAGTTAGAATAGACGTTATTAGCAGAATTAGTGCTAGCGACATTAACGCTGATTAAGTCGAAGGAATACAAAAATTTAACAAACTCTGGCTAAGTAAAATCGTCGTACGTAAATCGTCGAGCGTCGTAAGTCGGTCACTCGAGTTTTCGTACAAAATTGCCATTTGGCAAAAGTGTGTCGCTTACTTCAGGGTGCTTTATGCGAATAATTCATTCGCGCTTCGTCATCTCTAATCTTAGACCGATTCAATTTTAAGCCATTGCCGTTGTACAATGTTGTACTATCTTTAAATCGACAACGGAGATTGAAACTTGCTATTTAATAAAAATTCGTACGATCATCGATTAATTATAATATAATTAAGAAAGATGACCGTTCAGCGTTGTAAAAGATACGTTTTTAACCGGGTTTCGTTAAATTTACTAACTCGTACGTTTTGTCAAATCCTAGAAGGGGAACGTTCTTTCGTCGCTCCTCGAACTACGTACGATTTGAATTCTACGTATCCACTTTTCACCCTCTACATTGACACCACCAGAATTCAAAGAAACGGTAGGAAGGAAACAAACAGAGAGAAAAAAAAGAAAAAACACGTAAAATACGGGTGGCCGGTGCGCGCGCGCGTGTTTGTGTGTGTGCGTGTGTGTGTGTGTGTGTGTGTGTTTGTGTAGTTGTCAGTGGTATCGTGACCCCGGTGAATGGCTCGCGTAACGTAGCCGAGTCATCTGGATCATCTGGAGTATCTAGAACGTATTGATCGCGGCTAAGCAGCTGTACTCTCGGGCTGACAGTAACGTTGGGGCGACCGTACGGAAAACACACGTGTACGCGTTCTCGCGACGGAAACGTCGTTGTCGCCGGTGTTATCGTCATTCTGCTAGCTACGGGGAAACTCGAGGGAAAGTGCAAAGCCCTTTGTCTCGGATCGATCCAAGCGATTTCCAAGTACCGTTGCGGTCGATAAAAATGAAAAAAAGCGGAACGGAACAGGTCGGGTCGCTGGTTCGTTGAAACGCGATTTTTCCTTCCTACGCTTCTCGGGTAAACAGATGGTTTAATATTCGAAAGGTTGAATCGTGGTTCCACGCGTTGTAGTGTTTTGTACGGTGTTACCGAGAAAGATTCTGCGAAGATGCGGATCGGTGACAGTGAATCTTTGGAATTTTTATGTTTCGGTGTTTTCAAGGTTCCGCCCCTTTTCCGTAATAGTTTTTAACAAAAATGTAGTTTATATTTATAATTTATATACATGTAGGTACATCGCGATTTTAGAACGACGAGCCGTTGAATTTTCAGCGTTCGTTTTCGTCTCAGTGCTTGTACAAATTTTGCGAACGTTTTAATAAGAATCTGCTTCGCGGAAAGGCAAATGACTGTATTTGCGCCGAAAATACAGATCGCAAAAGATATATTTATATCGATGTAATTATTATATAAAACGAAGAGAACGATTTAGAGAGTAGAATAAAAATAATTGAAACGACCAGCGTTCCAAACGAATGCTGTTATCTGGTGTAATAAAGATGTCAAGCAAAACTTTCCCAGATCCGAATAACAGTAGTACGTAACACACGTATTTGTACAATACATGTATATCTCTCTCGAATCGTGGAATGACAACTATAAATATAAATAACTGTTTCAAAGTTTGATATAACGTGGAATAGTCGATCGAAATGTTTAGCTTTACAAGTAAACGTAATTTATTCGACGCTTATCTTTTGAAAATGGAAGGGGAAATACCAAACGCTTCTTCGTCTATCCGTGGAAGATATAGTTTTATATAACGCTGATATTATATTCTCGAGTCTGATGATGGAATAGCAAGTAAGTAGATGTCTGTCTTATTAAGAAATACTAATCTTTCGTGAGAAGCAAAACGTATGTTGTCCGATCGTAAAATTATTTTTCTCGTCGGTCGATGGATTTATTTATATTTTGAATATAAAACAACATTTTTCCAATGAAGAAAAATCTCTTTAGAAATACCGATTTATGCGATATTAAATTTACGTCGCTGTGTTTTCAAACGACTACGCCGCAAATTTGAACGTATCGCGCTATCTCTACAATTTCATGCTGCGGATAATAAATATATTATTACTTTCGTGTCTTCTTTTCATTCGTCTCCTTTTTGGGTAACAATTTGTCTTTATCGACATTAGAATCCTCTCACTCATTTACTCGCTCAGAAAAGAAAGCGTTAATTGATCTCTTGTTTTTCGCTGTTCGTTCTGTTTTCAACAAAAGGAGATTTAATTCGAAATAATACGAAATTTATTTTTCTGCTTCTCCTCGTGCGCTGTTGCTATCGAAGATTTTTTTCTGAAAGAATACGTGCTTAGTCATAAATTGCGAATAATGTTTCAACGATACCGACTTTCATGATGTTTCGCAACTCGAATCGATTATGTATACAGAGTTTCCTGGGTCCTTTCCGCCAAACGGTACTAATATATTCTACGAATAAACATAGGAAGAGAGTGTTGTGTCGTATAAAAATGTCATGAAGAGTAGTGAGAAGAATGCGAAAAATAACGGCGGATTTATCTTTCGTTCGATAAAAGTTTTAACAGTTACCGCGTTCTTTTCACGTAAGAAGAATTAACGCAACGAACGCGTAACTCGGTTGTTGATGGAAATTCTAAAAAAATTTCGAGTGCCACGAGTTTCGCGTTACGTCGATGCGAAACTTGTATCAGCACGTTACACGTATAACGACATTCCGATAGCATATGTTTCGTTGATTTCGTTTCGTACAGTACTAGATTTATGTGGAAAGAAATTATTTTTTATATCGATCTCTCTGATCTAGCCGGTTGGTGCGAGTACATTGTAATTAATACTTTAATACTTTATTAAGGTAAATGGAACAGTTTGCTGTTACTATCTAGCGTTACAATTGTGGGAAATGGGTCATTAAATAATTCTACGTTACAGAATGATTTGCATATAATCGGAGTAAACGTGTATGTTATAAACCTTGTGAAAAGTTTCTTTCGCTTCTTTCTCGTATTCTTTACAAGAATACAATGTTACAGCGATCATAGCTTTTTAGTATGTATATTATTAGAAGTATTTCCTTCGAAGCTCCAAGCCACTCTCGATACCGAGAAATCACGATATTTCTATTTTATAGAAATTTTCACCACGTCCCATTTTTTATATAAACGCGATCTCGACTCTCGACTCCAATTTTGTTCAATTTCCGATACGTTATCCCGAGGGACCCGAGAAACAGGCGCTTCGTTCGAAGCGTGACGCGATCGTGCTTGAAAAGTTACGACGAAAAGAAAATCCTACTTGCTAGATTACATTTACACCGATATAACTGGTTAAAAGTGAAATTGCATACGCATTTGCATAGGATTGCGATCTTAACAGCGGTAAGATATAGTCAAGTTACGTAAGTTTAGATTACATTGAGTGGCCGGGGTGCCGAACCCCTAGATTCCTCGAAACATCTAACCTAATCTAAGCCAACTTTTAAATCACGATCGTGACACCGTTCGTACAAAGTACGTGTTACTCGAGACCTTCTCCTCTACAACGTATCTCAAGGTCAAGGTCAACGCCATTGGACTCGCGATTCCCTTTTACGCGTAATCGTCCATATTTCTATTTATCGAAAATATTTCAGTAGCTCTTCGTTCGATTGATAAAAGTTTCGTAGCCCAATTTGTCGCACGTGGCACGAAAGTCGAAGAAAACACGCGCAAAACCCGTTCGACCGTTCTTAGCGATGTAACCGTATAGTTGTAATACGATATATTCGAAGAAATTTCGAATCTTTCGATTAGGAAATAAACGATGGATCGAACGAAACGCATCGACCCACGGAACGTAATAAACGCTTGGGGAAAAGTGATAACCCGGCCGAGGAAGGAAAATGAATTTACATTAAAGCAAATTTACTCGCGTTTCGTAGAAGAAAAGTCACAGTCGGTGGAAGAGACATGCTGCGAAACGGAGCACGTTGGCTCTGTCTGCGTTCGTTGATCAATTCGATCGTATAACGTATTAATACGTCGGAGTCATCGTAAAGGGTTAATCGCAATGTCCACGCCGGACGCGATGGACACCATCGACGAAGCGGAGCAGGCGTGGCGTGAGTATCGCTAGAATTCCGAACACATATTTCCCTTTTCCCTTTTTTAAATCCATGATCAAATAATTAACGCTGATGATGGTCGATTCTAGGAAATGTATGTTATATCGTTTTTTACAGCCAAGTGGACGCTATAATACGCGAACAAACCGTAACTCGACGATCACAAGCTAGAGAAATCTGACAAATCTGAGAGATCCGATAAACGCGTAGCTGTGAAATAGCCTTTGAACGTTTACAAGACGAAAGAATTCCCACGTTTCATTGCCATATTTTTATTCCATTGAACGCGAATTCCCTTTTACAGACGAGATGCTGGAGTGCGAGACCGGATCGCTGTTAGGCCGAGTCGCGGACCTCGAGAGGCAATCCTTGGCGCAGAGGGACGAGATAGTTTGTCTTCGAGCTACTCTGGCGGACGCGCTGAGGCGAATTGCCCAGCTGGAAGGACGCGAGAAAAGAGAGGATGAGAGAAACGAGAGGAGAAACGAAAGAATAGTGTCCTCGCCCTTAAGGAACGGTCATGTATCGCTTAGAAGTGAGTACGCGTTATACGTTACAGTCGCAATTCTTGCGCCAATTAATTCGGTATTTGCACGTTCTTCGCTCATTGTCTAGATGTATTCGCGAACAAAAGATTTTAGATACGTATTTTTTCATTTTCAAGAATTATTAGAAATAAAAGAGTCTATGTATATGTACATTCGTTGCGCAGTTATTAGCGAGTAGCGGAAAAAGGAAGAACCGACGAAGAAAAGATTCACGTGGATATGGAGAAAATCGGTGGTTCGTTGGAAGTGGATATTCGCGACGATTTCGGCTACGGCTTCGATTAACTTGCGAAAATGGACCGCGAATTAGAAAACGGAATGATATAAATTTTCGAGACACGAAAGCCCGTATCGCGGCTAGGAATTCCAAAGCTTCGAAGCTAATTGTTACGGAAGCCGTAGAGGCAGGTCGCAAATCGCAGATACGGGGAAGCCTCGCGAGTTTCAGCCCATTTAAAACAAAGTTCATCGGGTGTAGCTGTTAGCACGCGACTGGTTAGGGTCATGTTTCGTTACCTTCGCGTTTCATCGAGCAATCGGTGCGCTTCGAGGTGAATTCCGGGCTGCTACCGGATCTCTAAACGAATCTAAACGAAACGTAAAACTAAAAGAGAAACGAACCGCGTATTCCCTGTGCTTCACGTCTCTTCGTCCGCTCCTGTAAAAAGTGATGATCGATAATGTTACGTTGTTGATATTTCGTGTGTCTCAGGTAATCAAAATTCAACACCCCAGAAAGACATACGTTTACGACAAACTGGCAGCTCTTGTCTGAGGAATTCGTCTTCGTCAGGATCTTCCCAGGATATTCGAGACTCGATCTCCAGCCCACGGAGACCGGTCAGTTACACGCACTCGTCGCAACTTCCTCAACGGTATTTATATCATTTGAAATGTTTCGAACCAAATCTTCGGAATATACGATATCTCTTTTTCTTTAATGCACGTGTATTTACCTATGTGCCACGATGTGTACAGGGTGTAAAGAACGTAAGTAAGTAAGTAAGTAAGTAAGTAAAAAGATTTTGAAATTCAAGATCAAATGTTTTTATCGCAACCTACTCGTCATACGTATCGCAATCTACTGATCAGCAGGAACGAAAGTTTGGAGAAAATAATGGGTCGCAAATGATCGCTTCTCACGGAAAAGATGTTAAAGTTTTAATAATTCTTGAAGCAGCTTTACTCGCCATGTATTTATATTTATACGTCTATACGTACATCTACATTTAGTAAAAGAAATAACGTGCTGCCGATGAAACAGCGAGAATATATCAATTACAGATATATCGGAACACAGAAATAATGGAAAAATTTTACGCGCGACAATATGATTTTCAACGATTAATTTAACAATTTCGTGATCGCGACAGTCAACTTTTCAAGTCAAAATTTTGCCTACAAATCTCCGTCGATTCCAAGATTTAGAATCACGCTACGATCCTCGTTACGCTTACTTTCTTTACTCACTGTGCAAAGTATCTTATATACAAATATCGTTTGGCAAGAATTCCAGTTATGGGCTGGAATAGACGGAACAAATTAAACTGAATTTTCAGAAGGTCAGTTCATTACCAATCAACGGGTTCGTTACACTCGGACAGTCCCAGTAGTAGTAGCGTTTCCCCGGTGCCATCGCCGAGTCCTAGAGCCACGCCACTGCCAGTAGCCAGGTACACGTTTTTCAACGAAATTCATTCGTTTTCTATTTCGTTCGTAGTTTTCTTACTTAAATAAGAATGCCAGCAATTTCGTTATCTTCGATGTAGAGAGCGATTAGTAGACAGTATAGCAGAAAACGACGACCATTCGAAACGGAACAAATCGAGACGAACGTGGTCGCCTTGCTTACCAACTCGTTACCCTTGTATGCAAAACTTACTGCTCCCGTTACATTAAGGATTTGAGTAGATATTCTTCTCGATGTGCATGTCGTCGAATACAATTACGATTGTTCGAATTACGATTTAGCGGTATAAATTGGAAGCAAGTTTCTATTCTTTGGATAAATACCCTTTGAGAAATCATTCTCTTTGGTACTTGTTCGTAGTGAAATGCAAACCATATATTTATCGATGTTATTGCTATAAATTATTGCTCTGTCGTTGTTTCGTTAATTTTATAGAGCATGAAAGTTCTTAGTAGTATATGGTCTTTTGCTTTCGAATTTATCACAGATGTTAGAGACGAAGCGCCGGATATAGAGGAATCTAATCCTTTCGAACGATATTCGGCCGAATCGTATACGTGTCTTTCAGGTTTCGGATCGTATCTAGAGAAAACGCGTTATACTAATAGACAAAAGATGTAGAATTCTGCAGAAAGATCTTAGGCCACGTACCAAACGCTGGATTCGCAGGATTTCTTTTTACATCGAGTAGGACGTAAACGTTAGAAACGTTGTACACATACGCACACGCACAGGAACGTCCGCCTTGAATCGGGCGAGAATAAAGAAAACAAGAGGAGAAAAACTACGTATTGGGGTTAAGCGATTAACAATGCGAGTGGTAATCGGTAAAAGGGCGATGAATCGAGTCGTCGCCTGCGCTTGTCAAATCGTTTGATATTTAAACGTCGATATCGTTGGAACGAATCGTCGGTGAGATTATTGTACGATAACGGAGAACGAGAGGGGCGAATTTCATTGAACTTGAGATAAATCGAATCCTGGCTACAGAGTGACAGTTTCGTCATACAGGTAACGAGATTTTTTCGTCACAGAGTAATCCTGTTATTCGATAGATCGCCGACAGCGAGATCGAACGGGCCACCGCAAAGCAGCTTAAGAAGGGCGAAACGGTGGTCGTCGACAGGGGATTTTACGCATTCCCCGCAAAATCAGGGAAGCAATTCGCAACTTGTCAGTAACAGGTAAGCAGGGGATCGATATTATTAACGAGCGAGTGCACATTTGCCTGCTTTCGTGATTTCCCTCTTTTTCACACACCGATTCTGGTCGAACCCTCTCTCGGTGCACATTTTC